TGCCCGTTACAGACCCTGCCTTGTAGAAACGGTATGATTTAGGTATGAGAATGGTCGTACCTTTTGTGTTGGAGGAATTATTTGAGGACCAGATCTCATCCTTGACTCCTCCCCGTTTCCTTGTAAAGAATTTCCTGATTTTGTTGTATTCCAACGAAAAGGTGATGTGAGTGCCTTGCAACATTATGATCTCTGCAGGTTTGTTTGTGTAGTCCGAGATTCCTTTGATTATGTCATTCATCTTCTCTTCGTTGTCCATAATGTTCCCCAAACCGTTGATATTCCAACTTCTGATGATTATTCCTTGTGTCTTCCAATCCACCTTACCTTCCTTTGCGTTTGCCCGCTGACTGCAGACCTCCATTGTAGAGGGAAAGGAAGGGGGATGTGGCTTGGGATGTGGTAAATATCACCCTAGGTAGTGGTCTGGTCACTAGCATCCATTGTTGCTGAAGTGTCTCCCGGCGGGTCCCGATGTGCCTTGCCTACTGAGTCGTCTATCTTATATTCCCCCACGGTACCACTGCCTTCGTGTCCCAAGGGCAGGTCTGGCCTCAGGACGTCCTCCTCTTCGTACCATTCGTCCATATCCTCCTCAGACCCATCGTCCCTGTAGTATCTGTCCAGATCAACAGCGAAGGCTCGCGACTCCAAGTCGCTATCCTCATTCATAATGCCAGATCTCAGGAGGTCTGCCACCGAGTGCGTGGGCGCCAACCGAAATGCAGTTCAGTGGGCGTTCTCGCTGTAGCCAAACGTGCGGAATTGTTGTAGGCACTAGCGACCTTGGCCAGATGTTTATCCCAGGCGGTCTGATCTGCGCGGATATACATACGTAAAACTTGTTGTAGCACTTTGTTCATTTGCTCAGTCTGTCCGTTTGTATCAGGGTGTCTACCTGAGGACATAGTTAGTTTGGATCCATAGACGTTCATGAGTTGTTGCCAGTGCTCGCCCGTTAATCGTGTATCCTTATCACTTACAATAGTCAAGGGATGCCCGTAGTCTTTTACCCAATGATTAAAGAATTCCCGAATTACTAAATATGTTCTTGCTTCACTAGGGAGTGGCACAAAAACAACAAACTTGCTAAATCTATCCACAATTACCATAACTTTACTCTTCCCATTTCTACTCTTTACCTTAGTGTCCATATAGTCTATAGACACGGACTCTCCGGGACCCGATGCTATAAGCAGTGGTCTAAGCAAAACAAGGGGAGGCTGCGTGGAGATCTTGTTCCTATGACATACTTTGCAGCCTTGTACATAAGCTATGCATTTATGCTTCATTCCAATTCACGTGTAGGAACCGAGGAGGTTAGCATACGTCTTCCTCCAACCGAAGTGTCCCTTAGTGTCGTGACATTCCCCTAGGATTAGACTACGAATCTCCTCGCTGTTCGATATGCAAAGTCTGTCATGCACCTCTGTCTTCTCAAACAGTAGTCCCTGGGTTAGTCTATAGTCTGAAACTTCATGCGGTGTTGTCTGCAACTTGTTAATCAAATGACTATAGACCATACTTGCGGCGCATCACGTGCGCGCAGGTTGCGCACGTGCGCCACAGCGCACATGCGCACACGTGTGCGCGCACGTGATGCGGCGCATTTAGAAAATAATAGAAAAAAAAATCAGAAAGGGTAGGTCGTCGTACCCATAAGTGTCCCTCCCTTTTAAAAAGGGTCAGTACACAAAGAGAATATTTTGGGCCCTCGTCCTACTTCTCATTGGTTTGATTCTCCTTTCCGAAAAGTACCCTGCAAGCAATTAGCAGGGTTTCCATGACCTTCGGAAAAATGTGCATTGGACTGCTAGAAGACCACGAGTAGGCCAGCAATATATCCCAGATTCGGATTCAGGTGTGTGTTCCAAGAGTTATGGGTTACGAATTTACCACAAACACTCCAATAGTTGTCTCGTTTTTTTTTCCCCCCTTTTCTTACGTGCAGTGGCCCTAAGGGCCTCGCTCCACTCATCAGCACTTGCAGAAAAGAAAAACGGATGGCTTGTATGGTTCCAGTTTCTAGGAGAAGATTAATTCTAGTTTTGCACATACAGTAGTTGTCTCACTTTTTTGTTTTTCCTTTTCTTACTTTCGTGCAGTGGCCCTAAGGGCCTGGCTCCACTCATCAGCACTTGCAGAAAAGAAAAACGTAGCCTGTATGAATCCAGTTTCTAGGAGAAGATTCGTTCTAGTTTTGCGCATTTGGTGAGTAGTGGAGTGAAGCATTCAAAAATTCAAAATCACATGCCGAGTTAGTAAGTCAGTAACCCATAACTGCTGAAACACGGACCTGAAATCGAAGCTACACCATATGATATGTAGCTGGCCTACTCCCTCCGTACTATGAGTCCAGTGACGACCCTTCCAATGACCACCCCGTTCCTGCCGAAGGGACCCTTGCCAATATTTGGCAGGGACCTTTTGAAGTATTGACAGGGGTTGTCTGAATAATGTGAAAGGGCTCTGCTCTCTCTCTCTCTCTCTCTCTCTCTCTCTCTCTCTCTCTCTCTCTCTCTCTCTCTCTCTCTCTCTCTCTC